CCCGCCGGCGTGAATCCGCCAGCCCCAAGAGGCCAACGAGAGCCGCCGCCGCACGTGGGAAATCGGCCGAGATCGGGCCGGTTGACGTCGAAGCGGGCGGGAGGAGGAGAGGGAGGGGAAACCCCCGACGCTGTCCGTCCCCCCTGCCCAGCCCCCCTACCCCTCCCCCGGCCCCAAAGAGGGCGGGGCCACGGGGAGGGCACCACCCCCTTGGGAACGGGAGCGGTGGTCGTCCTCAGGCAGACAGCTGGAAGTTGACGTCGACGTGGAGGTCCTTCGCCAGGCGCATGATCTCGGCGAGGGCCACGGCGGTGGCGGCCGCCCGGTCCAGGTCGTTGCAAGCCAGGATCTTCAAGCCGCTCTCGGCGAAGAGGACTTTGGCGTCATCCACCCGGGTGCCTTGCAGGCGGGCCACGATAGGGACCTTCAGCGCCAGGTCCTCGGCGGACAGGATGATCCCGCGGGCGATGACGTCACAGCGCATCAGCCCTCCGAAGATGTTGACCAGGATAGCCTGGACCTTCTCGTCGGAGGTGATCAGCTGGAAGGCCTCGGTCACCTGCTCCACCGTGGCCCCGCCCCCGACGCTGAGGTAGTTGGCTGGCGACCCGCCGTGGAGCTGGAGGAGGTCCATGGTGGCCATGGCCAAGCCCGCCCCGTTGACCAGGCAGCCGATGTTGCCTCCCAAGGCGATGTAGTTGAGGTCGGCGTCGGCCGCCTCCCGCTCCTTCTCGTCCACCTGCGTCCAGTCCTGCATGGTGAAGATCCTCGGCTGGAGGAAGGCCGCGTTGCCGTCGAAGATGACCTTGGCGTCCATGCACATCACCCGCCCAGTGGAGTCCTCCACCAGCGGGTTGATCTCCAGCAGGACGGCGTCATGCCCAATGAAGAAGTCATACAACTTGACCATGGTGTCGGCCGCCTCCTCCGCCAGCCCCTCCGGGAAGCCCATCCTGGCGGCTAACGGCACGGCTTGGCTCATGCGGAGTCCCGTGACGATGTCGACCGGCTCCTTCAAGATGGATGCCGGCTTCTCGGCCACCACGTCCTCGATTTGGAGGCCGCCTTGAGAACTGGCGACCATGACGGGACCCTGGAACTCCCTTTCCATGCTGATGGCGAAGTAATACTCCTTCCGCAGGTAGCGGCGTTCGCAGACGAAGACCTGGTGACAGATCCGCCCTCGTTCCCTGGTCTGCTTGGTCACCAGCCTCTTACCGATCATCCGGGTGGCCACCGCCCGGGCCTCCTCGGGCGAGCCCACGATTTGCACGCCGCCCCTCAGCCCGCCTTCGAAGACCCCTGTTTCCCGCCCGCCGGCCAACACCTGGGCCTTGACCACCAGGTCCTGGGTGCCGACCTTCCGTGCCGCCCGGTAGGCTTCCTCCGGTGTCCTGGCCACTGAGCCGTACGGGACGGAGACGCCGGCCTCGGCCAGGAGCTCCATGCAGAGGTACTCGTGGAGGGAGAGGTGGCGGAGGCGCGGGTGGCGGAGCTGAGCGGCAGGCAGCGTCGCCGAGAAGCGGCGGACGGCCCCCAATCCCAAACTCCCGACGATGGTGCCTCCTCGGACAGCCCTGAAGATCCTGCTACATATCATTTTGGGTGGGGGGGTCGTGGGACTGAATGCGTCTGCAAGATGATGCTGCCGGGATCTCCCTCCCGGCCGAGACTTCCAACTGGTAGTTAGGGTTGCTTCCTGCTGGTTGTTTCCTGCTGGCTTCTCATTGGCTGAAGACAAGAGGTTCTGTGACCTCACCGGCCTCTGGTTCCTCCTCCTCCTCCTCCTCCCGGATGCCCCTACTCCCCCGTAGAGGTTTACTACTGGTTCGGCGTAAGCACGGACAGAGCGTTCTCCGTCGGGACAATTTCAAGCGATGGAAACTTGACTCGACGTCAACCGGAGGGAGAGAAGAGGCGTGAAAAAAAAAAACCAGGACTCGGATATTGAAAATGTGCTTTTGATATACACTCATAGATTAACAGAAATGGGAAGGGACCTTAGAGGTCATCTAGTCCAAACTCCCCTTGCGCGAGCAGGAAGACAATGGTGGCCCGATTTTTTTTTTTTTTAAAGGGGCAGGGTTGAAGAATCGGAAACAGAGATTGATCGATGGATGGACGGATGAAGATGAGGAAGATATCACGGGTGAAACCCGGCCAATAAGATGGGGAGGATTCGTACGTATGACAAGAGAAGCGAGGGAGGAGGAGGAGGAGGAGGAGGAGGAGGAGGAGGAGGAGGAGGAGGAAGAAGAAAAGAAAGGAGATTGGGATGAAACTAGAATGCAATGAGGATAGAAGGATGATGTCAGAAAAGATTCTGATGATGGATGAAAGGGAAATAAAGGGAGGGAGGGATGAAGATCAAAGGGCAGCGGACTCTAATTGGTAATGAAAGGGTGTATATAAGGATAGATAGATAGATAGATAGATAGATAGATAGATAGACAGAGAGAGAGAGAGAGAGACAGATATGATAGACAGAGAGAGAGAGAGAGAAATGGAGAGATAGACAGATGAGAGGGGGAGAGAGAGAGAGAGAGATAGATAGAGAGATGATAGATAGATACATAGATAGATACATAGATAGTTAAATGATATAGATAGATAGATAGATAATAGATGATAGATGATAGATAGATAGTTAAATGATAGAGAGATAGATGACAGATAGATAGATAGATAGATGATATTGTTAGATAGATAGATAGATAGATAGATAGATAGATAGAAGATAGAAGATAAATAGATAGATAGATAGTTAGATAGGAAGATAGATAGATGATAGATAGATAGATAGATAGATAGATATAGATTTTAGATAGATAGATAGTTAAAAGATAGATAGATAGATAGATAGACAGATAGATAGATAATAGAGAGACAGAGATAGATAGTTAAATGATAAATGGCTAGATGACCTCCGAGGCCC